AAAGAGTGTTGGGCAGTTTCTCTTCTTCAGAGTTCAACAAATTCTGCAGTACTGAATCTATCCTTTTGCAATCAATGCAACAGAACCATTTTCCTTTGGGCAGTCCCTGAAGTGTGAGCAGGAAAAAACCTAAATAAATAGGGGAAGAAAGGAAAGGCAACTTTACCATGAAATAGAAAAAATACTAGTTTTTGAATTTACGGATACATGAAACTACACCTTGAGGTCAGCCACCTTGTGCTTTTTCAAGCAACCAATGTGATATCCCTTCTCACACTGTCAAAGATAAAAACCAAGCATCTGGAGATCAGCTCTTAGGTGTGTGTAACAGAATACTTTCGAAGAATAAAATCACCTAGTTCAACCTCTTCTTATGTCTACCTCTACCCCTCCTCATGTCCTCCATCTACTACCTTTCACTACTCCTCACTGGAGCGTCAATCTTACCATTGTCTAGTAAATGGCTCTCACCTTCCTTGATATCATCTTGTTGCAAAAACACACATGAAGGTGAAAGTCACCTTAAGATGAGATCAAGGCATGGTTTAGAAAGGCATTTGAGGCAGTACGCCTTGAGGCGGTGAGGCTTAAGGGCGATGGGTTTGAACTTCAAAGGCTCAAGGCTCATGTTGGTATTTCGAGGCTTATGCCCTAGGTGGATGAGGTGTATCAAGGCATACGAGGCGCAAGGCTTAAGTTTCAGACTTTAATCATGATTTTATGAATGCTCTTAAAAGATATTGGGCCTAGACATTTATATTGCCTCTTTTTGGCATTAGCCCTAACATGTTATCCAACATAGGTTTAAGTGTAAGCTTGCAAAGCTATTATGCATCATTAAAAAACTGCCCAAAATGCTTAAGCTAATCACATTGTTTCCAAACGAAGCCATTATTTACTATGTTTAATCTTTGGCATTTCTAAAAACAGTGTAAGTACTCCATAATAAACAGTAGAACTATAGTTGTATTGGTCTAGCTATGTGATTGTTTTTTCACTTCATCTTAGTTTGTTAACACTTAGTAGTTAGTTCCTTAAATCAATCAACCCCCCACCACCACCACCGCCACTACGCCCATCTTCCCTCTCTCTCTCTCACCTGCCCTACTTTACTTAATCTCTTCTTTACTTAGGATTTTTGTTTGTACCTGCTTATATCGGAGAATTATACTATTTATCTATTACTCATTTACTGACTGTCTTATTGGTATTTGGTAACATAAGTTCTGGTTGTCTGTTTTTTGAACTTTTCAAAATCTGTGTTAAAGTTATATTAGTTATAATAATTTACCAATGTTGTGAGAGTATTACTTTATTTCACAGTACGAATTATGCATCTTATGATATAATTTTATTTTAATTAAATTGAGGTGTACGTCTCATCACGCCTTGAGACTTACGCCTCATGTCAGATAGTCCCACTGCCTCGAGTCCCGACTTTTCCTTTCAACCCCTTGGATCAAGTTAGTAAAACTCGCAATTTGATGTGAAGACTTAAATGGTTATGCATCATACGGGAATTTGGGATCTAAATTGATATTAAGATCTCCAATATGGTAAAATTGACTGGATCGTCATTAAGGAGCGCATGCATCCACGCACGTTAAGAATCGACTGAATCGGGAATGCATTGTGCACCAAACTACCATTTTATTTTGTTAAGAATGCAGATGTAAATTATTTGGGGCGATGGTTTTCATTTTAAAATTAATAAACATCACCAGTACTACGTAACATAATGTATGCATAAAACATGCACATCTACTGATCTACATGACTAAATGCATAATTGCATACATATGAAAAATGCAAAACAAATACCTGATCGCACAATATGACTGTATTTGGTCCAAAACCAGACCCGCTGTAATCATAACCTCTGCAAGCATCCAATGAATTTTGAGGAATAAATCTAAAAGTAGGTTCATGGATGTATCATGCAAATATGCCAGTACCTGCACAATACACATGCAATGACTTTTGCTTCTTCCAGGTTTTCAACAATACGAATGCAGCACTTTGTTATCTGCTCTATTGGATCAATACCAGATACCCTTCCAGCTGCAAAAGCATTATCATTGTATTGCACAAACTTCTCCCTCTGGAACATATTCTCACAGTATTTACAATACCACTTATCACTGGGGACACTGTCCAAGCAGGCACATTCTGCACAAGCAAATAAATTTCAGCTATCAGATTCAAATAGATAGTACAGAGCATGCTCAAATGATGAACCACAAGTTGAGAAAAGAACCCACAAGCAATTGTAACAATCCAAATACTTTTCAATTTTACATGGTGAGCAGAAATCATAGATAAAAGTTATTAACTTTCGTGTAATACATAATAGTGCATTGGTTAGTTCACAACTGAGTGGGTAGTTTTCTTAAATATCCTATCTTTAAACTAATACATCACAGTGCATTTGTTTAACATAGCATGACGCTAACTGCTCATAGAACATGCACACAGCCAGCTATAATCTGAGACGGAGAAGAAAGAGTAGAGACCAAATAGTGTGAGAAAAGAAGACAGATATTACCTACTGCATCCAGTTGGCAGTTATTTGTTTTTTTTTTTACAAAATAATTCAGGATTCTCTAGAAGCAGTCTCAAAAGTTAATCACAATAATAGTAAACACAACAAATTGCATCATCATCAACCATAACAATATTTTCTTTTCAGCAAGAACACAGCCATATGTTTAACTTTTTTGGGTGCAACTGTGCAAGGATAGCTTTAGAACAATGAAAGTTCAGTAGGAAATATAATGAAACAAATGAATGAATCAATGAATTGAGAAAAACAATTACCCAAGGACCTATAAATTTCCTAAGCAATTAAAACTTGTGCTAGTCTAGAAGTATGCAAAAGGACTTCCATATCCAAAATTTCCATAATCATTTTTAAGGTTAAGGATGATAAGCATAAAATCAGGTATGAACTTTAAATGCTTAACATTAACCTTTATGGAAGGCCCTTGGGCATCCATCACAAAGCACGAGTTTGCCACCATCAGCACATATAATACACAAGTCATCATTGTCTTTAACTGAACTATGGCGGTCTTTTAATAGAGATATAGCAAATTCATGAAGGGACACTCCGTTAGATGTGTATATAAACATGTAGCTGCAGAAAACATGTCAAGATTAACACAGAAAAAATTCAGTATTTCACATGAAAGGTAAAGTATGGAAACTAACGGTTTCTTTCTAGAGGCCCAGCCAGCATGAGCTTCAAACTGTGACGGGGTGACCTGAGCACAAAATAAGAGGTAAAAAGTAAATAAAGCATCAAAGAATATATAAAGACTTACAAGAAAGGTAAACCCAAACAACTAACATAATACCTTAGTATTGCAGCACGTACAAAATATGCCAAATCCTTTTTTATAGCCAACAAGCAACCTCTGTGGATACGAATTGAAAAAAGATAGCATTAGTTGTCACGCTACCTAGGTAGAGGATTATATTTTATACACATAAAGACCTGCACGAAAGAAGCAACGTTCAACCACCTTTCCATGAGAATAATAACCTACTTCAGTCCCATCAGGCAGACCTCCCTCCTCAAAGACCATCCAATGCATCTTTTGGTCTCTAAGGAAAACGAGAAGCATTAGATCAAGAAATTGAAAGGAAAAAGAGGATTAACTGATAAAGATACTACAATATCATGTAAACTACAACTTTTTTGTAAGTTTCCACTGATTCTTGGTTTGAACACGAGTATGTGTTGTACTTGTAGTGCTTTTTGCAAACTTCATAGCAGGAGTGGATCTGGAAAATCTGGATAAACCCAACAGAATAATCATAGGTGAAACCAGTCAGTTCGGCAAAACAGTGTTCTTGTAAAATAAGAAAATCTCTTCATCTACCAACTTTTTCAAATTCTGCCCATCCATCTTCATTTTGAATTTGTCGCTTTTAGAAGCATCTGGTGGTCTTGTTACCCTGAAATAAGAAGCCATGAAAAGCAGATTCTACAATCATTCCATCTGCTGTCTCACTTGATGGAATATATATAAATGGAAGAAAATAGAAACTGAATAGAATCAAATAACCTTCTCTTTAAAATCTCTGATTGACTTGTCTGTCTTGGCAATAAACGCGCTGAAAATCTCAGAGAAGCCTCTCCATTTGAAGCCAAATACATGGCCCTGGATGTGAAGAATGAATAAACTACAATATAAGCACTGCAATTTATTTCAAAAATAGAATATAAAAAAATAACTTCAAAGAAACTGACTTCCTCTTTTCTCTCCCTTTAGTACTAATAGCGGAAGAAGTGACAATTTTGACAGGTGCAGAAGAGTTTAACTTCTCAACTGTGTCAGAGGTCCTAAAAAAACATGCGAAGAACGAATGATATAACAAATGCTCTAAAACTTAATTGAAAAATATGAATAAATTAACACAAAATATACTGACTTTCTCTTTTTCCTCCCTTCAGTACTAATCATGGAAGAAGCAACAACTTTGACACTTGCAGAAGAATTTAACTTCTCATCTGGTTCAGAGGTCCTAAGATAGCATAAATGAAAAAAATAACGAATTTCAAAAGAGAAGGACGTGACCATCATACTTGCTAACCATTATATTGTTTTGTTTAGCATTGTATATAAACTGATACATAGGTATGAAGTAAACTAATAAAGACATAAGCTTGATTACAAGGAAAAAGCAATCTAAGTCAGAGAATGAATTTGAAGGTGTGACAGTGGTATTTACCTCCACATAGCAGCTTAAGTTTACAGTACGACTAATTTTAGGCAATCAAAATAAATCCAACATACTCCGTATCTTAAATCACTGCATAGCAGATGACATAATCAGAGTGCATTTCCAAACTTAAAACCAATCTTACCCCACTTCAGCATCTGATCTTGTAACAATCAAGCACAGATGACATAGTGGATGTTTTGCAGCAGATGTTGCCAGCAATGGCCCTATCAAATGTAAATTATCAAACGCTTATTCATTTTGTGATAACAATATTCAAAAGCAGACATTTATTCACCCTTGCATTTCTGGCACAGATTGGTTTCTTCACGTACACAAGGCAGCCCTATACAACTCTGAATTGTTTCTTCTAATGTCTCTAAAGAGCATTTCCTGCATTCCTTCACCAATTCGAGCAGGCTCTTCCCATTTTCAAAGACGATATACTGTGATGCGCGCTTATATGACTTGCGTGCATGCATCTCAAATTTACAAGGAGAGAGAACCTGTCATAAAGTAGTTGTAAGAGAACTGATAAATTTTTGAAATGATAGCAGCTAATCTATTGTTGAATGATACTGAGTAGAAAAGAGTGATTAGAACTCATATATACTTACTATGGATCCCTTGCACATCTCACAGGAGCACAGAATTCCAACACCTTTAATTATTCCACGTAGCAATACTCCCTAAAGTAGGAAGCTTTAGTCTCAAACTACAAAGAGGCTGGAATACCAAACCTTGTACAAAAAATGAATAAGTGGAACTATTTGGTTTAAGCCTTTAAGGGTACTAAGGCCATAATCTTAGGGTGATGATCAAGTAAGACTCATGTTCAAAATATGCAAAAAGAAAAACAATTCTTCCTAAAGGAAATCCATTTGTAGACAACGAGATAGTACTCACATATATAAGCTCTCACCATTGAGAAATTATTCCTTGAAAATTAAGTCATTTCCCAAATATAGAGCTTTTGTTTGTGTCAAAACTTTATATTCTCTCAAATCTCTAACAGACAAGCAGTGAGGCATGCTGAAATCTTTGATAGTTTCAAATTGCACGCAAATTTGAAATGTCAACTTTCTCCTTAAATATGGCCCCTAATATGAGATACACTTTAACAAGACTATTAAAGGTTGTATGCATCTACTCTCTTATCCACCCAAAACAGAGCATATCAATAAAAATGTCAATATTATGTACAAATAACAAAGTTAAGCCATTAGGGAGTGACAACCATCAAAAGTCATTTATGGAGTATAAGACAAAATTAAAGAAGATCTGTAAAATGAGGATGAAATGATTCACTTGAGAAACTGTACTACACTTAGCAGTTACCCTTTTGCCTGCTTTGTAGAAGACATCATATCCTTCCAGCAAACCAGTGCGGAAAAGCTTTCTAACAGTATTTGGTCTTTCTTTTAGCTGGGTCTTCTTGGAAATTTCAATCTCTAGCCTCTCTGTATGAATACCCAAGGCAGTAGAACCACCACCCTTGGCTTTCAAAACCTCAGCATCATCAGCAAGCCCTTTCCCGTCTACGCTTCCCATTTCGGGTGCCACTTCCACCTTCCGCTTCAAACTAGACCGAGTGAAACGCCTTTGCAGTACCTCGCACGCTCCATTATTCACCAGTGCTGTTGACTCTGCTTTGACTATCAACTCCACCTTGTCACCCATCTTCCCACACTCTCCACTGGAACAACTCACCAAATTTCCCTCATTACTCATTATTTTCCCAGCTTCTTGATCACGGGTTGCCCCAGCATTTCCCTTCCCACCACCCGCAAAACCCTTGGCTCCTGACTGGCCAAAAATTGCAACTTTACCATCCCAATAGCCATTCAACGGACTGGATTTTACATTTTCACAGCCTGGCCTCATCCCACTCGTACACTCACTTAAATCACTTGGCAGACCTGATAATCGGGCTCCCATATCAGTTTCAGCGGCATTCATTAACCTCTTACTCCTCCTGCACACGACAACTCCCTTCTTTCCACTAACCCTAACTCCAGAGAACTCGCAGACCGCCAAAGGCGTACGCCTCATTTCGACCCTAGCTCCACCCAGATTATCCACTCCGAGGCCGTGCTCCGAGAAAACCCGGGTTTGACCCGAATAGTATCCTAATGAAGGCACAGCTTCAAATGCCACATCCGGCTCTAACTTCGTTGGCGCCGCCGCCGACGCCGGTGTCCCGGAAGAAACACAACGGCGGAGAGAGGGAGACATGGAGAAAAAAAACTATTGATATTCCACACAAGTAAAAACGTCAGTTTAAAGAAGCGAGGCGAAATTTGATAGGGTGAGACTTGGGAGTGATAACTCCATGGCTATGGCAGAATTTGACAGCGCACATATTTGAGGGACTCTCTTTTCTGTGAGGGAAATGGAGGGAAAGGCTGCTTATTGGGGGGCCCTGCTTATTGTGAAGGAAATGAAGGAAAGGCTTCTTATTAGACCTGGTTTGGGTTGAGATATTTCAATAATTTTGGTTATATTTTTTAATTTTTTGCTTACTTTATAATAGAGTAAGTTGAGATACGTAGGATAGATGAGTCATAATTAGAAAATAACATCAAAATTATTCATTTTAAAGACGTGTCTTTTTTCAAGCATGAAAGATTTTATGGGACGGAAGTATATGTTATAATCTATTTGATTTGGATTTAGTTTGATTTCTTACATTTTTTTATTTTGAGACAATTCAGATATATTTCGATTTCGATATATTTCAATTTTGAACTTATTTCGGATCAGATATAATTCAGATTAGATATATTTCGTATATATTTTAATTTTAAACATAATTTAGATATGTGCTCAAAAAAATATATTTTAGATATACCTTATTTTTGAATAAAAATTTAATTATTTGTAATAAGTTGTTGCTAAACATATGACTAGTGAATTTGTGATACGTTTGTTGCTAAATTCAATCGTTATTTTGCTATATTCATCCCTTTGTATATGAAATGGACAGGTTTATCTTTAATGTTTAGAGAAAAAGAAAAGAAAAATGTAAAAGGTAAAGTTATCAATTTATTACAAATGAAGTGGATTTAAACAATAGGTGAATTTAGCACCACTCTTCTAATAAATGAAAGTAGTTTGCTTCTACTTTTACAATAAAAGTACTCCGTAGTTTGCTTCAATTTTAAGTTAATAAAAACTAAGATAATAATGATTATAAATTTAAAGATTTTATTAAAGTTTAAGGTAAAATTTAGTAAATAAAGACAATTGAGTTCTTAGAAGGAAAATTGAGGTACTCCGATGAAATTTTTTTGGTGTTTGATTAGATCAATCTAAATTGTCAAATGGACATAATGTACTATCAAACTACATTACCACAAATTATAAGGACCCTCAAAGTATATTTTAAATAATATGGGACCTAGAAACTTTATTTAAAATAGAAAGTACCCCGAAATATATCTCAAATAATGCAGGACATGCAAGTTTTTACCAAAAAAATTGAAGGTACCTTGAAAATATTTTTTTATCATAATTTAATAAAAGCACTAAAACTCAAATTATAAACACCGACTCCAATAATAATAATAATAATAATAATAATAATAATAATAATAATAATAATAATAATAATAATAATAATAATAATAATCACTCCAAGCCTCGTATATCTTTCTTCTTGTTTTGAATCGTCCGGGCAGATGCATATTAATTTAGTTGGGGCCAAAGCCTCCTACTACGTTTAAAGCTTAAGCTAAAAATAATATTTTTTTTTATCGAATTACAGTTTGTGCCCCAACTAAAATTGGGAGAGACCCCATTGTCGTGAAAACAAGCAATATTTTGATATCAATTTTTATAAACTTCGATTTTCCTCTCGCTCTATAACGGCTAGGGTTGTCAAAGAAAAGTAGTCTTCAATTCCTAACTCCAACAAACCTTACAAACTACTCTCTAGTGTCGTACCTTCATTTTGTGTTAGGACACGAGTAACCTTAGAATACAAAATGAGATACAAATATGACATATCAATAGAATTGCCTACAATAAATGAATGATCGTGGGCAATATGAGGGACACAAATTAACTAGTGCAAAAGAAAATGTTACCCAAATACTGAGAGTATTTTACATCCCCATCTGCACCACTTTATTTTTCTGTGCTTCATGTAACATTATCTTGTTTAAAGTCTTGAAAACTATCTTAGCATTATTTGCATTTCAATTTCAAAATTTAAGTTCTTAAATTTCAAATGGCAAATGAAAGATTTATTATTGAGCTTTGTTATAAATTACTCCCTCCGTCCCCCATAGATCTTTCCAATAGCTCTTTTTCTTTGTCCACAATAGATCTTCTCATTTCATTTTTTAACAATTAAAATACCACAACTACCCCCACTTTATTTATTACACCTCACCCACCTCATTTAATACACTCCACCCATTTCCATTAAGGGTATTATTGTAAACTTTCACCTTTTTTCAACTCTCTTAAAAAACAACAAAAAATCAAAATGAGAACATCTTAGGGGGACGGAGGGAGTACTAGGTAGTAAAAATGACCTCAAATTCAAACACAGAATTTCTAAAATCACCCAACATAGAATTTGAGCTAATTTGGATTTAAAATACAAATTCAAATTCTAAAACATGCCATTAAACAAAATCAATAACAAGGTGAGTTTGTAGGGCTGCTTTGATCGAGGCACATAAGAGGAGGCCAGCATATATTCTAAAACAGTTTTCAAGTGACGCCTGCAGATGAAAGTGGCTGATACAGACACCCCCCTCGTATACAGAAAAAGACACAAAATACTATAAACTTTAAGCACACACCCAAAAAAAGAAAAAAGAAACCAAAGAAAAAAGAAAAATATTTGCACAAACTTAGAAGGATGATGAGTAGTAGTAGTTGGTTTCATCTGGCTTCTGATCATCGGCTTTGATTCATTCATTCATCATCTTGGAGACAGTACTTGCTGAAATGTTTAACCCTGAACTTCCATTCTCCTTTGAGTGGGTCATAGGACACGAACTCGGCACCTTGGTCCTCTGCTTTTCTCTTGAGCATCTCTCTGTACTTGTCAACTCTAGGCCCATCCGTGTAGCTCTGACCGGTCTTCTTGTCGACACATTTTATGTTGAGGAGTGTGACCTCAGCAGGCTTGTTGAGACCTTGTCCCACGGGCGGTTTCTTGCTCTCGTCCATATAAACGATCACCTCTCGGTTGTTGAATTGGACAATGGACTCCAGGTCGAGCCTTCGCACATCCGTCTCCCCAATGAATCTTATGCAGCCAAATCCGTGCCTTCCCACGACAAAATCGCTGACATGGCAGATGAATCCAGGTTCGGCCCTTTCCTTGGCTGCCAGCTCTTGGATCTGAGGCACAGTGTAGTAATCGGGGTGCCTTAACTTTGGCATTAATGCCTCAATGTCAGCCCCATGTTCATAAACAGTTGCAGCTTCACCAGCGCGGTGCCCATTAAGTGTAACCGAGGAGCCTCCCTTCTGGACACCGTTGGGTTTTTGGTTAGCTTTAGGAGGTGGGATAGTTTCCTTAGAGCTACCGTTTTCAGTAAAACCATCTGCAAAACAGGTCCCGGGATAAACGGAAAAAACAGATTAGGTATATTTTATTATCAAGCCCTAGAAAGGATTAATATAATGATCCCTGGTTAGAAACTCCGCTCTAAACAACGTAAGACCGTTAAATGACATAATGTCAGCAGTGGGCACTCTAACACCAGTGTTATTTGAACTGTGCCAATATTTGAAACAAGACTGTTTTTTATGTTGAGGGAATATTAAAATTTGATCACAAACTCAGAAAGAATCACATTAATCCCAACTAGTGGGTAGTGTCAATTAACTTTAAAGAACTACATAGAACTATACTTTCATGCAAATAAATGGCAATGACTTTACACCAATACCCATCGTCTCATAACCTTTTCAATAGGGAGTGGCAAAAAAATACAAAACCATCACATATCAATACCTTATTACCAATTACTTACACTCAGTAGCATTAACTTTTTAGTTTATAGTTTATACTGTCAATTAATTGCACAAAATTAGACTAAACTATAAATTCAAGAAAAAAAGGCTTACTTTCTTTATCACCCTTAGAGACTCCATTAGGTAGAGGAGCAGATGCATCTTCAACAACTTTGCCTGAATAAGTAGAAAAAACAGATTACAAGCCATCAACCCCATGAACTACCAGAAACTATTATAGAATGTAGAAACTACTCAGATTGTTTCGACTAAGCGATCAAAAGGTGAAATAACTTGGTAGTTGTGCTCTCTCTCGCCCTCTCTCCTGTGTCCGGCGCACACACACATACAAAAAACAAAAACTGTCCAAGGAATCTTACTGTTCTCTTCTGTTGTAGAAAATGGTTTCCTCGGACTTGCTCTGGAGGGCCATGTCTCCAATGGATGAATTACCAAAGCTCTTGGATTTTCCCGGGGAACAAAAAAAGCATCTGCCTTTGGTGTGCTAGTTGTCTCTTCCTCGTCAGTAAAGAATGCCACCTTCAGGTAATAGGTTTATTAAAACTACTGCAATTAATTCTCAAAAAGCAGAAAGCATGTATTAGTAGATCACTGTAGAAGAGCTACACATTACAATGAAATGACCAATATAAGACCTTATGCCATTCGGGTTGTGGATGATAATTCCTTGCATGCAACCTGGACCGTCTCTGAGAAAGGTGTCTTGATGTCAATAATGACGATATCCTGACAGGAGCAGGTTTGTCAATAACCTGCTAAAAGATATAAGAACATATCAGATCTACTTTTTGTACATATGCTGGTCTTTAAAGAAATAAATATTGGCAGAAAAGGGTATGCTAAAGTAGCTTTTATATATATATATATATATATATATATATATATATATATATATATATATTATCCATGAGTCATCTCTTATCTCCACTTCAATCATAGAGGTTTTGGTTGGTAATATTGCCTACTTATACTGTTTGATACTTACTGGGAGATTAGAGATCCCATACTGTATAGAAGGAGAATTGCCTGTCCGGCCAATTGACATTTGTGGCATCGCAGGCAAGGTTCCAAAAGGATTACTCACAGGTGCTGGTTGTAAAACCAATGAGCTTTGAGTGGTTGGCCTGTGGCAAAAATAGATTCCAGTAAACTCTTGAAGGTTGACGAATGAATCCAAGAAAACCAAGCACAAATTTAATATGGCAATTATTGAAAAAAATATGTACTAAAAACCAAAAAAAATATCTGCCTCAATCAAATATATTCATAATTCTTTGTCTGCATGGAGCACATGAATGCTGGCAAATAAAAGAATCTCCACATAATAAAAAAGAATGTCCACATACGGCTGAAAATTGTTCTGGCCAAACATATTTGTCACCAAAAAGCTATTTGAAGCAGCTGTAAGGTCACAAGAACAGAAAAAACATCAGCACTGTCAGCAACTTAACTTTCAAAGCAATCTAATAAAAGATGACTTAATGATCAAATTTAGAGATACCTCCTTGTGTTTGGCCAATATTATTAAACATATTGTTCTGAGGGGTCTGAGCTGGTTGAAAAAGTGTTGAAAACGAGGACTGTTCAAGTGGGAGGAAACAAAGTGTTATAAACCAGCACATGTGCATGCAAGAGAGAGATAATCAGAGATGCCCAATTGGAATCAAGCCCCAACTAAACACAGTGGGCATAAGCAAGGAGCTTTTTGAGCAATTCTTTGTAAAAAAAGTTTTTTTCATTGTTCGATTAGTCAAACAGCTATAAGTAAGAAGTGTTTGGTAAATAGCTTTTTAGAGACAACTTCTTTGTCCACAATTTTTTACATGTAAAATCAAAATCAGCTCACACAGAACTTATCTTACCAAATAGTTCTTTCTTAAACATCAATCACAAAAGCTAGCCCAAACATATACCCAAAAAGCTAACACAAACACCTAATAGCTATCAGCTTTGTGCCAAAGAGGTCGACAATGAATAATAAGAAATTCATAACAGCTTTTTAATATAGGGTTTTGACAAACATAGTCCTAAAGCCTGTGTCTAAGGAAAAATTGAATCATCTAATCGGTTGAAATAAAACACTCCACCCTTCTTTTAAACAAGGTCACAACCCTAATGGGCTGTGCTTAGCAAAACCCTTTAACATCACACCATATCAGTTCCACAAACTCTTAATTTTCCATGTAATGAGAGCAGGCAAGGACAAAATGTAGTTACTTGCAAATTAAATTCAAGCAAAATATTTAGGCCCCGGACCCCAACAAAGTTGGGAGTATTTTGGGTTTGGTGTTATAATAAACTTTTAGGTTCTCGTAAACATAGTTGAATCAGTTCTCAGATTGAAAGATTTGTAAAAGCTTGTGCCTCAAAGCAACATCACAGGACCATTACGAAAATGAATGACCAACTTACTGTTGTTTGACCCAATCCTATAGGATTTGTTGTGTTTTGCACTGACGAAGTGCTAGTAAATAAGTTCCCACCCAAACTAGTAGATGGGGTGCTAAATATATTTGATTGACCAAAAGGTGTACTCTGCCCAATGGATGAGGAAGTCTGTCCAAATATCCCTGTCTGCCCATGTGAAGGTGTGGTTGACGGAAATAATGGTGTTGACTGAGTGTTGAAAGCTAAGCTAGAAACAAGTGTTGGTGTTGTTGCTTGAGCTGATATTGATTGTCCAAAAGGAGATGTTCCAAAGATGGGAGGGGTATTCGATACAAGTGATGGACTCGAACCAAATGGAGTTGTCACTGATGTTGACCCAAATGGATTCGGTGTAGCCGTCGTTCCAAATGGTGAACTAGCTGCTGTAGTTGTTGAGACTCCAAATGGAGGTTTTGGGGCAAATGGATTAGGTGAAGCGGATGAAAATGGATTGGAAGATGTCTGACCAAGGCTGTTTGCACCAATAGACTGTGGAGCTCGAGCAGGCCCTCCTGAAATTATTCAGTTGGAAAAAAAAATCATCAACAAAAAACATTAGTAGCAGTTCAAGCAATTTCACCTTTATCAGGCATTCAGGCAGATAGTACCTTTATCTCCCGACTGGTAGTCCTCAAATCTAAGTTCCTCATGGCTTTTCTCTTTATACACTGGCATTGCAGAAATGGACTCCATCTTTCCAGTAGTAGTTGAGCCGCTATCTGTCTCAGGCGTAGGTTGGTAAGGAGCCACTCTAGTTCCCCGGGGTTGTCCTGCAAAACCAGGAGCCCCGAAAGGTGGAGTTGAAGATGAAACACCTGCATGTTTTTATTATATGGGGACAACAATTCAGAGAGCATCAGCATTGATGTACAAAAAATTAATCTACACTTGTCATGCGCATAATTTAAAGAAACCACGCACCAAATGCAGAACTTTGAGTGGCAAAGGATGTTGGTGCTGTATTGAAAGGACTGCTACTAAAAGCAGATAATGATTGGCCAAAGGCTGGTGTAGATCCAATATTGAAAGGAGTACTCGTATTACCAAAGGGCGGGGTTGTTGTAGAGCCAAAGGGAGAAGTGGTTGTAGTGCCAAAGGCAGGAGTGGGGGTAGTGCCAAAGGTAGGAGTGGTTCCAAACACAGGTGCACTGGAAGTAAATGCAGGTGTGGTTGAACCAAAAATAGGGGCAGTTGAAATGCCAAATGGACTACCAGTGCTACCAAAATTCGTGCTTGCTGTTGTGCCAAAGGATGGAGTACTTGAACCTCCAAATGATGGTGTGGTTGGGGCACCAAATGCAGGGGTGCTGGACGGGCCAAATGCTGAGGTGCTAGGAGCACCAAATGCGGGTTGACTTTGTGCTCCAAATGGAGGGGACGAACCAAATAAGGTGCTCCCAAATGCTGGTTGGGATTGCTGAAAGGTGCTTCCAAAAGAACTTGGTTAAGGAGTGCTCGATCCGAAGCCACCAAAAGCAGGCTTTTGCCCAAACAGTGGAGAACCTTCACCATCATATTCAAAATAAAAGAAATGTATTGATACATACTTTAAACATTTAAGCAAAGATAAAAGTGATTTACACTTTAAGTATGGAGCATTATAACTGTGAAATTTAACAATCCTATATCACAAAAAAGGACCGTTAAGTCTTTAACCCAGATAGATCAAAGATTAGAACTGGACAACCTCAAGCTCAGAAAAATGCCAGATTCAAAGATAACCTGAAAGAAATGAGAAATCTACCTTTTTCTAAACCTCGATTAGTACTTCAGAGAATACCATTGTAATGCTTGCAGCATGTTTGATTGGCATGAGGAAAATAACCCAGGAAATGTTATCCCAGCATATTAGCATAAGTCATGAAGTTGAAAATTATAAGGTTGGTTCATAGTTCATACAATCTTTTTAACAACAACAACAACATTACCCCAGTGCCAGCCCAAAAAATTCTAATTCTTATGGGCAAGGAGCAAAAAAGACTAATATATGACCTTTCTACCCCCATAAAACCCAAGTTAGGTGTGCAAGGATCCCAATGTATAGTTTCATTATTAGGGGCATTTTAGCCTTTAAATCAATAACTCCCAGACTTTACCAAAGTAAATGAAACAGATGGAAATATAGAATTAGTAATCCTAATGTTCTGATTCCCACCCACGTGACAAAACTACAGAATTTAAAATCTTTCATTATTCACAACGTATTTTTCTCCCACTAAACTTGAATTTCATACCCACCACATTATTGTTTGCAATTTCAAGGATTTCAAGCTAAAGTCTATATTATTCTACTGATTTTTTATTTGCATATACATTAACAAAGTTACACTCCTAATGCTCCACTTTACACGAAAATTTAACTACCAAACAGAGCTTGTCCGAAAATTGCTATTTGTGGAAAGAACCTTTAAAATGAATTTAATAAATCTAAATAAATTTTCTGAAAGGAAAAATGGTCGGTTATTTGTAGTTTACGATTAGCTAAGAAGCTAAGAAAATGAAAAATAACCTATAATGATATGAATATATTAGTGTATATATTCAACTATTTTTCAATGACTTATTGGTATAGATATAATTTTAAAATAATTTTTACAACATTTATAGTATTCCTTAGTACTACGCTAAATATTCTAAGAAATTATAATTGCTTAAATATGATACAAAAATTTTGGCTTATTTAATACTACGGAGTATTTTGTTGAGTACAAAAAAGAGAGTTTTCTGTTACAAACATATTATTATTTGTTAGCAATTTAAGAATTAGTTTCCTATTATATTTAGTATTTTGTCCTTTCTTGTATTAGTACTATTGGTATTGGTAGTTACAGTTTCCTATTAGTATTAATACTGTAATTTAGTTAATACTCTTGGAAACAGACTCTCTACTCTAGAGTAGGGGTAAGGTCTATGTACACACCCTACCAACATATACACACCCTAGCCAGACCTTACTTTTGGCGCACTCTAATGGGTTGTTGTTGTACTCTAATTTAGTTAGAATTCCTAATAGCAATATTGTACTCTGTCTTAGATTAGGACTCTATTATCTTGCTCTCTTGGGAGTAGTATAAATAAAATAGATGTGTTATGTTCATTTATAAGATCATCAATGGTTGAAGACAAAAATTCTAATTAGTAATTATGAGAAGCTAGCCAAGGACTGCTCTGCCTCCTTCCAACCACAGGCAGGGAAGGATCAATGTACTCTTCTTTTATGTTCACTCCTACTTTCGTAACATTTCCATAGCTTCAAAATTCATCTTTTAGTTTAGGAAACGAAGAGCAGAAGATGCAATTCGGCACTTTGATGAAGGAGAAAAAGATGTCTGAAGGCATGTGTAAAAATGGAACGGTGGCCGGAAACATGGAAAGACTGTAGAGACTATGTGCAGCATTGTGGAAGTGATCAGAGGAATGCCATACTGGGGGCCACAAGTGGAATCCCATGTTTTCGGAATTGACTCACGATTTGATCGATATATGCATTTCGCACAATATGGCATGCAATTTCATAGATTAAAATGATTCATCAAGGTACATATAGTATTACTTCAACAGATTTCATATGAAATGAAGATATGAATCGTGTGAGTCATTAGCACCAAAAAAACTCACAGTGCATGAACACTTTATGAAACCTAACAAAAAATACTAAAGATTCCAACAAAAAGCTAGAAGCTTTTTTTTGTAATTTATTGAACTGCTATTGATCACAGTCGACAGCTCATACTATGAGCTTGGAGGACCTACTGACCTATAACTTTATGCATTCCATCAAGAAGATTTGTTCTACAGTTAATCCAGATATTAATCAGAGCTACGTGACTACCTAAAACTTACAAAGAGTACTTTTGAAGAAGTGCATATTTGCATAAAGCCAAGGCAACAAAACTTATCATATGTGAAGAAAAAAGATGCCTTGAGAAAGATCTGACCATGTTGACTCATTGACATGGATTCTACTCATCGATTATGAAGCCAAGCAGCATACTAATGTAAAAGGTAAAGATATATGCACAATAATACACACATATCCAACAACTTACTCCCAAATGCTGATGATGAATTACCAAATGTAGGAGTTGATGAAGTTCCAAGTGCAGGTGTCGTGCTTCCAAAGGCAGGAGAAGATGCGCCAAAAGTTTGGGTGGAACCTAAAGGTGAAGAGGATTGTGTTGCTCCAAAAACACCAGTAGAATTGCCAGCAAAAAGAGAGCTCCCAGTATTAGAGCCAAAAGGAGTTGTGCCTCCAAAAGGTTTGGGTGCAAATGGATTGTTGCCTGTCTGCCCAAAAGCCGATTGTGAACCAAACGGGCTGGTGGGCAACTGCCCAAAAGCTGTAGCATTGACCAAAAGTCTATCAGTAAATCAAGATAATACATTTTTACCTTTAGGCCCTGTTTGTTTGAAGGGGAAATGGAAGAAAAGAAAGGAGAGGGAAGGAAATTGGGAGGAAAATTTAAATTTTCCCTAGTATGGAAGAGTGGAAAACTGTGCTGGACAAAAGGGAAAATATTTTGGGCCCAGTGTGTTTTTCTTCTCACCTTCGGATGGAAAGTGAGGCAAAGGTGGGAGCTTTAAATTTACTCAAATGCCCTCATAAATTATCTCCCTAGTTTAGACTTTAGATAGCCACATCTTATCCGACTCCTACACATATGCAGATATGCTTCTTTTTCTTCACTGATGTCTTTTACGTGAAATAGTACAAAATCTTGAATTCATATTGGTTTTATTTTTCTAGTGTACATAGTTTATAATTTAAATTGATATATAATAAGTTCTAAATAGCAAAATATTAATGTTGCAAAATTGTATGTATTTTAAATTGACTCATTAAATTCTTAATGAATATATTTTAGTAATTATAAAATGATTTCTTTTTTTAAGAATAGAACATAGTGGTTACTAATAAAGGACAAAAATGTCATTTCCTTCTAATCTGTTGTCCATTCTATTCAATTTTCCATTCATACACAAAAAAATGATGTTTTCCTCTCTCCCCTTCATTTTTCTCTTATCCAAACCTAACTATGGAAATTCAAAATTCATCTAATTTCAATTCTTTCACTTCTTTCCATATTTCTTTCCTCTCTACCAAACATAACCTTAGGGTGAGGGTGGGGAGAGGGGCAAATGTGAATTAGTAAAGTCAACCCAACATGCCTAGTCTAATTTAGATATTCAGAATGCATTGAAAGCAAGTTATTTCTTGATAATAGAATTGTGTAGAAGACAAGAAAACCTTTAAGAATTAAAAAAACATTTCATTTATAGCGATTAAAAATAACAATAACATAACAAAAAATGATAGACCACACAGTGCAATCATAGATTCCATTTTTTAGATGTATTCTAACAAAACAACATTTAAAAAAAACACTAATAATCTATTTTAAAAACTATGAATGAGGTTCCTCAAAAAAAATTATGATTGAGGAGGCACTTACGGTTAGTTGATCCAAACATCGTTCCGCTTGAATCCAATCCAACAGTTATTGGCTCCAATGCTAAAATACACTGACCAAATGCAGAATATATGAGATTGATGAGTCTAGAAAACAGAATGATATAATTCAATAAATGTGATGCAATGTCATTGCATTAAATATTCATGTAATATAATTAAAGCTAGCAGCCAATAAACAAGCTCATTTGGCCAAATATCACTGGAGAAAAAGGTGTATAATATCCACCAACTTCTCTTTAAAGGATATGAATTACAACAGAAAAAAGTAACTTATTTTGGAGCTTGAAAATCAAATACAGGAATTAAATTACATCAAAGTAAATCAAATCCAAATTACCAAAAACTGAATTAAAATCAAACACATGTCTCAAAAAACAACTCCCAAATTTTGAACCCTACTCAATTTTTTTAAAAAAAAAACTACATAGAAAACCAAATTTTCCAATGAGAAACGTCTAAACTCATAATTAAAATTAAATGCATGAATTAAAAAGACAAATCTAGAGCTGTAAAAAATGGAACAAACTGTAGAGAAGGGGTCTCTTGCTCCGCGTCAAGCCTAATGAAAGGGGCACTAAGGTAACAAATTATTTCTTAGTCTCAAAAGCAATAATTCAACGAAGACAGGAGGAGGAGGATCAGGGGAAAAAATTATACCTCGTGAAAAGAAAAAAATTGTAGAGCCAAGCAGCAAAAAATATGCAAAATTTAGGCATCAAAATTTGGATATTAAGGAAGATGATAATTGATGGTGCCATAGAGGCTAGAGCTACACAAATCTCCCACCGTTCATCCAGATGCTAGTGGTAAGAACAGTACCTGAGGAAGATGATGAACAATCGATGATGAAATTCAGAGGTTGACGACGGTTTCGCGATGAAATTGTGCGATGGTGAGAGATCGCTCTTCCGAAGCGTGCCTCAAAGGCTCGAAGTATTTAAGACGGAACACTCCGTAAAACCAACGCTAAAAGAAATTGGGCGTACTCCCTGGCGTGGCTCAAACGCTCGAATTATTGCGGAGTGCTCCGTGAAACCAAAGCTAAGAAAAAAATAAGACTTCGATTTTTTGAAAAATAATGTATTTTATTTTATTATATACTTAAATCAAATTATCTAAGATTGTAATAGTAAAATGTGACTTTATTTTTAGGATTAAGGAAGTAATGATTTTAACAATAATAATATGCTCTTTGTCCAATAAAAAATGGTCAATTTGTCTTCAGGAGATTAAAAAGTGTAAAAAAAAATATCAATATTAAAAAGTAAGTGATTAAACTTTTTAGTGCCGAGCAAATTATTTTGGACTATATTTAATTTTATAAATAAAATAGAAATATAAAGAGTGAATCTCTTGGACATTTTCAAATTAAATATTATGTTAGTATGATTTTTAACGAAATATACAAAAACTATGATTATGTAGCAATATTTATTGATATTTGTAGCGTTCTTCCACTATTCACTCTGAATCAACACTCATTCAGTTCAACATAACAATTGAATGCACTTATCATCTTACTCACTTCTTCACACTCGTAGTGTCTTACTTCAACAATATGAGTCAATGATTACATAGTTTTTAATATTATTTAATATTTACCTATTCCTCATTAAAATAAATTAAATAATATTTTTTAATTAAATTAAATAATTTGATTTATGTGTTTTTTTACAGAATTTGTTGCTTTATTATTTTTCCATCCAAACCTTTTTTTAGTTTGTTGGTTTTAATTCTTTTATTTTTTGTTCAATCCATTTATTGTTTTTCTTTTGTTTTTTTTATACTCCGTATTACGTATAATATTGTTTCATTTGAACAAGAAAAAGAAAAATTTTTTGTAAAAAAATTTTTCTTACATTTTTATACTACCTCCGTCCCTGAGTATTTGTCTAATTTTGACTTGTTTTGGTCAACTGTTTTCAACATTTGACCTATAATTAAATAAAACATATATTGTATATTAATTAGATAAAATAATATTTTGAAAATATTTGATATAATAAATCTAATAAAAATATTTTTGAATCAATATCAAATATCATTTTTATTTAGTTCGAGGTCAAAGCTTACCAATTTTGACTAAAAAAAGTCAAAAGTGGACAAATACTCATGGGCAGAGGGAGTAGCAAATAAAAAACATAAACTAGTTTAATAGGAAAAATTATAAATAGGACATAATTTATAATTAAACGTGTTTCATTCCAAGTAATCATAATAAAATATTTAATTCATAAGTGTTTGAGTGAATATATAAGCGCAACATAACATAAAAATTAAATATGCTACATTAGTCTTATATTATATTGGGTGTTATAAATTGATGAATTGAGAAATTAATTAAAAGTTGTATATATGGCCCTTATAATGATAAAATTTTAAAAGTATTATGATAATTTTAACTTTAATTCAAATTAGGTTAGATCTCATCGGGTGAAACCAAATCTCATCTGATCAGATAGGAAATCAGATTTAATCAAATCAGATCTTATCAGATTAGATAAGATATAATCAGATTACATGTCATTAGATCCAATAAGATCCCATCACATCAAACTATATCTTAAAAAATCATATTAGAAAAAATAAGATTACGTGAACAGAATGCAGCCTTAGTTTCAAGTAACAGTGCAACTAATAAGTAAATAATCGTAACTTTTATCGTGCTTGTCCACATTAATAGAGCATGCGTTATTGATATTAGTGAAATCAAAACACATTGATGGATACCCTAGACTTGGGGTACCCAGTCCAACAAAAACAATAACAGTCCATCCAATCGCAAGAATCGTATGCACTCGGCCAAAAACGCCTTACTCGGTTGAGCGGGGCTTAAAGGAAACTAAACCCTTAAGACAAAGACCGCACTCAGACACGCGACGCGTCTATACTCAGCTCAGCTGCATCCACTCGGACCCAGGGGCAAACCTGGACAAATATTTACTCAGATGTCATCCAGCGACAGAATCGTGTACTCAAACCCTGCTGCCAGAGAAGCAAGATGTATCATGGGCATGGGATACTGTACGTCCTATCTATTCTATGGGCTCACACAAGAGCATCTTCGATACTATATGTTTGTAAATCATTTGTAGTTATTCTATTTATAATTACACCACTTGTATTATTAGTCTAAAATCCGATTCCAATGGGTCTCGGTCCACTAGGTCCTGCCCTAAACAAACGCTAGAAACATGCATATAGGAAAAATGTATTGTATAAATACCTCTCCCTCTTGGGGAGAAGGGATCACGTTCACAACTAAGCTAATATAGTCATTCTACACTCTTGTGACTAAAAAGCACTCAGCCCTTATTCGATACTCTCCTACCTAGTCTTTTAGGCCTTTGGTTCCAAAACTCATCATCGGTGCTTTCATTGAGAGCTTCGGACACATCAAGCATGCTCTTTCGAAAATGGTTGCTTCAAGAAAAGTCACAACATCGTCCACTGCCGCCAACGGTGGTGGCATCAAAATGACTCTAACGGCACCTACTAACACGTGCCAGGATGAACTACGGACATCAGCTTGAACGATGTCACTATCCAACACACCACTGACCTCCGTCAACGCATTCCGCGGGGGAGAACGATGGACGAAGAAGGCCTTTGACATCCCATCCAGCAAATACCAGCCATGGGGACTGGTATGGTGACCAAGTGGCCTGGAGGAATGATCCGCGGCACGGGGATGATGCTTTCAGGTGACATCAACTTACCGCTTTTTCAGTTCGGCGAGACGTACGGTGTCAGAACCCCCTCCATGGATCCCAACAGTTTCTGGACCATGATGATGAAGCAGTCCATGATCGGTTTCGAGGCACAGATTTCCATGCATCAGCCAATGACATTGTCTGGCTTGGTGTTAGGTGATATATACGCGTAAAAATGTTGGAAAGGTTTATGTCTAGTTCATGCTCAATGCTTTAATAATATGTTGGTGGATGTCCTCGTCCAACCCAACACCTACGTACGTATACCACCGTGTTTGCATTTCCTTCCAAGAAGAGGGGCATCTCCTTTTGTTTCTTTCGTGGGTGTTAGACTTTCCCTCTTAGGTTCTTCTAAGCCCTCGTGTGATAGCCTAGACCTTCAAGCCAATATTCTTTCATGCCTTCAAGTAAGTATAATTAGCCACAAGTACATCTCACAAGGTACGACAAACACCTTCTATGGTTCTAAAATTGAGGTTGAGCTGTTACATGGGCAAGGACCCACCTAAATCCCCAACACAAAGTCCATCTTCACCCTATGAACTATGGCATTTTGGCCTAATACCACGTCCATCATAACAAACTCGTCACACACAATAATATCTCATGTGACACCAGACAGTGGTGTGTTGAGCCTCTTCAAGTCTTCCTTCTTGAGACCTAACTTTTGTGCTATGTATCGGCAAAGAATATTGACACTAATCTATGTATCAACTTGAGTGGTTTCTTGACTCATTCTAAAAATAACAGAAATTCCTTTATTAGGATTCTTTATTTGAGTAGTTGAGTTCATGACAAAAGTCATAAGGGAATACAACAATTGATACAATAAATGGATTTGGAAAGAAACAACATGATTAATTCTAAACATTTGCGTGTGGTTGGATCGTGTCGAGTCCACAGAGGGGTCTTCCACACCAGATCTGCAGATACTGTTTGCGAAAACTACACTAAACGTCTCTTCAGGATATTCTCGTTCCCACACAGCTTCGTGGTGCAAATATATTTTTCATTTCATTATTCTCGTGATGCGATGCGCACTTTGATAAGGTATCGGAGAGTCATACACTTTTTGTTTATTCATCCCTCTCTTGCCAAGTACGAAAGTTCGACTTGAGTCGATGCTCGATATCATTTCAGAGTTAATAGTCGTCATCGATGAAAATTTAATATGGCCATACTCAATACTTAATTTTTCATTACCTTCTTGGAGCAGAGGGATGCGAGAGTTGTGGATGTGATTTACATTTTTTATAACCAAAATATATATAATATATATTTTGATCAAATTTTGATCCGAAGATCGGGTTTAAAACCATTTACTCCGATACCAAATTGTAACACTTTAATCCACCTAGGTCTATAGTCCCTTTTGGACTAAAGTATAAATTGGTAATCGTAAAATTTAAAACATTTCAAATATTTTATTTATCATAAATAATAATCATAACATAAACAGTAATAAGACAGAGTGTTTAATAATGCGGAAGCAAATTAAAACATGTCACATGACCATCACAATTAATTATTTTATGTATTTTGAAATCATAATCCAAATCGTCACATCCATCCCAACAATCTCGCCCCATCTGCTACTGGGAACATGTCACATTATTCTTTCTGTTTTTCCTGCGTGTAGCAAATAAAACATACAACACGCTCAGCGGTGAAGCTAAGTAAGGATATTTAATGCATCGAATATCCATATAAATTGAATCTTAATTCATAATCAAATCATTTGATATCATGCACATAATATTTTTTTAATCATACACATAATATTCAATTCAAATATCCATGATATTCACAATATTCAATTCAGGTCATTTCATGACATGTTCAATATTCAGTATTCATACAATCAATAACATCCTTTTCATAACAAAGCTCTTATACTATTCTGAGTCTAAGGCAATATTTCTAACTAGGTTCTTAAACTGTAATTATTTTATGGTAGAACATAAGAATCGATGATCCATCCTACGAGTCTTATGGATCATGCTCCAACCAAACAGTGGACTTACTTACTGTTGGGGGGTGATATCCCCAAACGAGTAATTACTCAAGTTTGGTTTGTGGATCCCGTATGTACGTTTTAACCCCTGATTGCTGAATTGGTCACATATGTATATCTTAGATTTCTTCTAGATATCCTTAATAATCAACATCAATTAACTATATTGGTTATGTGGGTATATTTTAAAGTTCTTCTAGATATCTTTAATAAAACATATCAACTTCATAATCATCAATACATTCATTTGCAAATATAGTTCAATCATTCGT